TACAAATCAAAAGTTGACTGCTCATCCTGAGTGCACTATTCTTCTCATAAGGGGTGTCTATTGATAGCCCCTTAGAGGTTAAGGGGTGTCCATAAACCACCCTTTGTGGGTCCCAGTAGACTATATATATATATATATATAGGTACCCCTGTAGGGTCCTAGTTCAGGTCACTTAACCTCTGGAAGGCTTGAGATGCAGGCTTGGGTGGATCTTGAGTCCATCCCCGTTCCGAAAAGACGTTCCGCGTTCGTTTGACCAGGTCACTGCCGGTTCGACGGCACGACAGTTTCAAAACCCCAAGTCCCTCATTCTGCAGGGCGCACGCTATGGCAGTTGCAGCATTGGCAGTGGTACCGCAATCACAAGGGGGAAACCCAGTTCGTCGGTTGACCTGGTGTTGCAGAGTAAAGTTCAGTAAAACAAGCCTGGATCATCCTGTCTGGGTGTCCTGGCGTTCGACTACCCGACTCCCAACGTAAACAGGTCTCCTACTCCAGGGCACCCGGACAGGAAGTGCTAGGAAGGTATCCTTCGGTATTCAGACTATCCTGGAACCCCAAACAATGGTTGTTCCAATATGGCAAAAAATGATTCTTGACATCGGAAATGGCTGGGATTTGGTGAGTTCCATCCATTTCTTTCGGGTTGGGACTGGGCTTCCAGGCGACCAACAACTCCTGAAGACCCGCCCATCGACCGGGCTCCACCGAGGATCTGGCTGCGTGTGGCGGCCTTCTCCGCTGTGGTGGCCGCCTTGGCCACAGCGACGTCGCCGTGGCAGGAAGCAGCTTGGGCTCAGTGGCAGGACCCGTTCCCCGATCCTGGTCCGGGTGACATGGAGCAGGACCAAATTGGTGCCCTGAACCAACATGTAGGACCGGGAACCGGGGGAATTCGCCTCGTTGGGGTCGCCTCGGTCGGCTTGGAAGATTCATCCTTCGGCGTCCGAACCGCGGGGCCCCGCAGCCGAGGGGGCGGCGGCGGAGAGTTGCGACGCTGGGCCAGAGGAGGGGTAGGAAGTGGGGCTCGGCTCATTTCTTTCGATAGTCTATACCAGGACGCTACGAACGGAGCGATCGGACGCTACGAACGGAGCAACGGGCATCGCGACTCGAACGGAGCGATCGGACGCTGAGTCTATACCAGGATCCTCTAAGGTGCGGTTCCTTGAAGACCCGACGTTTGAGGTGGTGAACCTGGGCGTCACCAGGAAGCACCTGAAAGGAGGGTGCTGGTGACGATGTTTGTGTCTGTGGTAATTCGTGTGTTCCAGCAGTCACAGAGCTCGCTCGGGGTGCCGAACGAACGGAGGTAGTCGGGGTGCCCAGCTACTCCAATCACTGCATGGGACTGAAAACCACCCCGACATGTGACTCCTGGTTTATTGTTCTTATTTTGTCTTTGTCGTGTGTTTCAAATGGGCGGCTAATTAAGGGTTCTCGCTTAATGTTGGGGGTTGGGAGTAAAGGCTGTCTTCATGTCAATTAGATAAAATATACTTGAATGCGCAAAGTACCTTGGAAAAATGAGTACAAGTTCGTTTTATCTTAGGGCAATGTCCCAGTTGTCCAAGGTACGAACGACGTCGGGTCCAGATCTTTGCACTGCTCTCTCTGGGCCCACTCTCCTCAGTCTGCGAAAACAGATGTGACAGATGTGGGAAATTCCTGCAGTTTTATGCTCCTTGCATCGCTGATGTTGTGCCTTTTTGTGTTTCATCGTAGAAGGGCCCAGCCAGATCCAGATCCATTCGCCTCGGGCGATTTCGGCGTCCAGCTTCCCGTTCTTTGAGGTCCCAGGGCGATGGACTTCGATGTTTTCACTTCCACGCAGCGAGGGAAAAAGCATTCTGTTTTAGGATAACAACCCTCCTTGTCAGATCCTGAAACTGGAGAGTTTGTGGAACGCACGAAAAAGGGTGGGTTTTTAGATAGATGCAATATACCAGCACCTTCATGTCGGGGTCACCTGGCTGGAAGCCCCTACACTACTAAGGGACCTCCATTGCACACCCCTTGAAGGTCCAGGTACCAGCACCTTCCAAGAGGTCTCTTCTGGAGGCTTTTGTAGACTTTTCCACGTCGCAGGTGGTGACCTGGCAGGTTTCGGTCCTGGTATAGATACTCAAACTCATTATCAACCTCACCCTTTGGGTGCTGGTTGTTGTTTGTTGTTCAGGTTTCCAAACGTTTGAGAATCAGGAAAATGGAACCTTCCAGCAGTCACGTGCAGTCAACGCGGTGCGGACTCCATGGAGGTAGTCGGGGTGCCCATGATCCACATCCACTCACTGGATGGGACTAAACACCACCCCGACATGTGACTGTTGGTTCTTAGGATTGCTTCATGATGCTTCATGTATTTGCGCCTCCACGTAGTCTTCTTCACTGCACTTCAATCGGTCAGCAAACCTGGCGGACGTCCACGGGCGAAGCCAAGTTTCGTTTTTGGCGTCCCGGACTGCAAACGGCCCGCCAGAAGAACCATTTACCAGCACCTTCAAGCAAGGGAGCAAATCAAGCTTCTACACCGATCTCCATCCCTAGGGATCCACTGCCACCTTCTCAGGTTCGGTACGACTGGGCCCTCCAAGCCTACATAAACAGTCTCCAATCACCGTACCTGAGAAGGTACTTGGATCCCTAGGGCATTGAACACCCCTTGCTTCACCGCCCCTTTGCTCCTGAGGAGAACGACTGTGGTCAGGGACTCTTCCAGAAGTCTTTGGCGCGCGTGGGCCAGGGCCGGTCGATGCAAGCGACCAACCCCCTGGACAAGTGTCTTCGACGGAAACAGCGGATTGAGGATCCAACTTGAAGGATTGAACTGTCGGAAGATGCGGTGGGAACGGCCACTCTTTTAGACCTTATAACTCGGTGGGCGGCGCGACCATGAGTTATAGTTACCCAGACACTCCATGTATGCCATATATACCTACATTGACCCCTCAAACCAGCCCAATGTAGGCATATATGGCATACATGGAGTGTCTGGGTTATAAATTATATATAGAGGATAGTCCATGAAAGAACTCTAAGTCCCAAAAAAACAACACCTAAATGAACACTCTCACTTCAAAAGTGGATCACTTGGGATCACGTATAGCTAGGCCCACCCACTCTCAGTGCCGCCCTCGCCACGCGAGTGCTGCACGGAGCGGGGGGTGGGGGAACCTGAAACGGCCAGAAGAGGAAGATTCCGGTGGTCAATCTGTAGACCCTGGGAGTCAAAGACTATCAAAAGAATGGTCTTTACCAGGACCCTCCAGGCTAGGGGTGTCTAGGAAATAGCCCCTTAAAGAGGTGATTCGGGGTGTCCATTAACCACCCCGACTGGGGGTCCTGGTAAGGGAACTGAAATATAGTCTTTGGACTTCTAGGGTAGACTCTTCCAGGGCCTTCAAGGAGTGGTCGACATGGACACCCCTTAACGGCTAGTTGCGGCGAAAAAAAATAGACCCCTTTTGGAAGGTCCTGGTTGATATCTCTTTGATTGATCGTTCTGAGTGTGAATCAGATCTGTTTCTTTGTGGTGGCTGTAAATGAGTTCATCGTCTTGTACTCCATGACTCCGACCTTTTGGGTCGCTAGCCGGCGTTTTTTCCACCACATTCTACGCCATCTCACCCACCACTGAGGCGGGTCTATCTGATCATGTGTTGGCACAAGTCTGGCAGCAACCTCATTCGGCGCCTCGGCACCTCGCGGCCGCAAGCTCGCGGCACCCGGTGCTGACCGGGCCTTTGTACCCCGGTCAGTGCGTTCCCGGTATTTGGTGCGTCGCCTGTGTGTTTGGGGTGACCGATGTGACCGATGTCGTTCCCCCCAAAAGGACCAGTCGATTGAGCCGTTGGACCTGACCTGTCATTTGGTTGACAGGGGCTTCCGGTGGACAGGCGTGGCAACAACAACAACAACAACACCCAGATGGTACATGTATTGGTATATAATATTGGGTTGGTTTGAGGGGTCAATGCAGGCATAGATGGCATACATGGAGCGTCTGGGACACCTTTGGTTTGAGGAAAGAAACACGTTTTTTTGGTTTGAGGCAAAAAATAGCTGGTTTTTGAGTGTGTTGTTTTTTAGCTTCTTAGTAACAAGAAAGCTACGACGTTCGATGGAGGCCGTCGCTATTCTTAAGAAGTGTTTTCGTGTTTTGCTAAAGCCACGTCGACTCGGTCTCAGTCCTTGGTAGCAAAGAGTCCTTCAAAAGAGGGGCTTTTAGCCTCCCAAGTGAACAAACATGCAGAAACAAACATGCTACCGGCCCTCCACGCCCCTCATCTTCGTGACCTCGCTTCTGAGTGGTCACGACAGCCCAGTGACGGCGTCACGGGGGAGTCCAGATCTGATCCTTCACCAGCTCGTGAGTGACAGCTGAGTGACAGCCCGACTGGTCCGGTTCCCGGACCAAACAGATCGAGATTGCTTCGGGTCAGCGAGGATTTGGGTATGGCCGGAGTTGGGGCCGGGCGCCATCGCCGCGTGACGGCGCCCGGTGCCTTTTGGTCTAGTGATTTTCACATCCTTGTTACTAGTAGAAATGGCCTCCACCTAATAGCCATGGCCTCCAACCTAGTCGTTTCTTTTGGACAACAAAAAACCAGGGGAGTTCCCCCACCAGGCGAAGCCGAGGAACAGTTCGGTGGGACCCGGTGTAGGACCCGGTCTTTCTCCGCTTTTTTGAGGGCTCGATTGGTCTGATTTGCGATGTGAGCGGGGCATGTGTGTTTCAAAAAAACGCCACACAAATAGAGTGGTTGAAAAGAGGTGAGACATGGCACGTGCAATGCCCCAAGTTCGGTGAAGGATGGGATCCCTATCCAAGTTCGACATCGTCCAGTGCCATTTCTCACCACTTTTCAACCACGTGGAATCGACTCGCGGGTCACATGAAAACCGCCCAGGGCTCCGGAAACGATCGCTGCATGGAACCCCATCGTGTGGACGTAGTGGTTCCTGGGCTGAGGCGTTTCAGATCCAACCTACAGAGGTTAAGTGACCTGAACTAGGACCCTACAGGGTTCTTCAACCTCTGCTGGAATGGTAAAAGATCTGCCATTTGCGGACTTGAGAGAGTCTACCCAGACGCTCCGTGAAAACAGCTCTTTCCTGGTCCCGAACCAAACCCTAGGAATTGGTGAGAAGGTCCGGACCCCTACTGAACTGTTCGGGACCAGGGTCGCGTCTAAGTCTGGAAAAAGAACCAATACAGAGGGATCAAAGCGGTCGGTCCCACTCCCAGCACCCTCCCAGAACTGGGATGGTTGGATAGAAACTCTACATCTTCAGTGTGAGGAGTCAGGGGTCCAAAAACACCATCCAGTTACCAACAGAGGTTGAATGACCCGAACTAGACTATCCCATAGGTACCCCAGTAGGGTCCTATTTAAGGTCACTTAACCTCTCATGGTACTGGGTGGTGCTGGTCTTAGTCTTCTGATCTCTTCTATCTTGAAGAAGCTCCTGAGTCAGCTCCAGACTCCAAAGCCTTGGCATCTCAGAGTCGAGTCAGTGGCACAGTCGGTCCAGGCTCCCAGGTGCTTCGGGATTCATGTGTTTCGCCTTTTCGATCCTCACCGTCCGCCTTTGGGCTTCTCTCCCCAAACAACGCGGGCTTTCTTCATGCGCCATGCGCTCACCCGCCGACCGCGGAAGACCTCCCTCGTCCACGCCAGAACCCAACGTGCCGTGCGCCAGTCCTTCGCCGTCACCGTCGCCGTCCGCCGTTCCATGGGAGCGAAGAAGAGCCACGGCGCCCGCGCGTCTGACCGTCTGCGCTGAGGAACACCATGCGTTGGATCTTTGATCTGCTGGGCGTGACCGACGCATGCAGGTCAGCGAGGGCTAGAGGGCGGAGGGAGACGGACGAGGGCGGAGGGAGACGGAGATGGGGAGAGGGCGAGGGAGAGATTGTCTCCCACGCTCCATGTATGGTATATGCCGATCAGTTAAGGTGGGCCATGAGGGGTCTGGCCTGGGGCGGCAGTTCGGCAGTCCCAGACGTGTCGCGTCCTTCGGGTCGTGAAGGGATTCATGAAAGAATGGTGGGCGTTTGTCGACGGCGTCTCAGTGATGGAGCTGGTCTTCCGCACTGTTCCAGTGTGGAACGTTTGAGGCCAACAGAGGTGGGTCAGGACCTGAACGTTCGACTATCCCAGTTGAATACGCCAGTCTAGGACCCACGCGCTCGGGGTGGTTAATGGACACCCATGGGTAAGGTCCGGTCCCGGTCACATTCGCTACCTCTCTAGGAGCCGATCTCCGGCGCGGGGGGCGAAGCCGAAGACGTGGGGCCGGTTGTCTCGAAGCCGAAGA